CCCCACCACAGCCGCCGAGCCCGCAGCCACCGTCGCCAGAGCCTTCACCACCTAGCCCAGGACTGCCGCTGCAGCCACCCAGCCCACAGCCGTCACCAGCGCTGCCGTCGCCGCCAAGCCCTGCAACCCCACCACAGCCGCCGAGCCCGCAGCCACCGTCGCCAGAGCCTTCACCACCTAGCCCAGGACTGCCGCTGCAGCCACCCAGCCCACAGCCGTCACAAGCGCTGCCGTCGCCGCCAAGCCCTGCAACCCCACCACAGCCGCCGAGCCCGCAGCCACCGTCGCCAGAGCCTTCACCACCTAGCCCAGGACTGCCGCTGCAGCCACCCAGCCCACAGCCGTCACAAGCGCTGCCGTCGCCGCCAAGCCCTGCAACCCCACCACAGCCGCTGAGCCCGCAGCCACCGTCGCCAGAGCCTTCACCACCTAGCCCAGGACTGCCGCTGCAGCCACCCAGCCCACAGCCAACACCAGCGCTGCCGTCGCCGCCAAGCCCTGCAACCCCACCACAGCCGCCGAGCCCGCAGCCACCGTCGCCAGAGCCTTCACCACCTAGCCCAGGACTGCCGCTGCAGCCACCCAGCCCACAGCCGTCACAAGCGCTGCCGTCGCCGCCAAGCCCTGCAACCCCACCACAGCCGCCGAGCCCGCAGCCACCGTCGCCAGAGCCTTCACCACCTAGCCCAGGACTGCCGCTGCAGCCACCCAGCCCACAGCCGTCACCGCGCTGCCGTCGCCGCCAAGCCCTGCAACCCCACCACAGCCGCCGAGCCCGCAGCCACCGTCGCCAGAGCCTTCACCACCTAGCCCAGGACAGCCGCTGCAGCCACCCAGCCCACAGCCGTCACCAGCGCTGCCGTCGCCGCCAAGCCCTGCAACCCCACCACAGCCGCCGAGCCCGCAGCCACCGTCGCCAGAGCCTTCACCACCTAGCCCAGGACTGCCGCTGCAGCCACCCAGCCCACAGCCGTCACCGCGCTGCCGTCGCCGCCAAGCCCTGCAACCCCACCACAGCCGCCGAGCCCGCAGCCACCGTCGCCAGAGCCTTCACCACCTAGCCCAGGACAGCCGCTGCAGCCACCCAGCCCACAGCCGTCACCAGCGCTGCCGTCGCCGCCAAGCCCTGCAACCCCACCACAGCCGCCGAGCCCGCAGCCACCGTCGCCAGAGCCTTCACCACCTAGCCCAGGACTGCCGCTGCAGCCACCCAGCCCACAGCCGTCACAAGCGCTGCCGTCGCCGCCAAGCCCTGCAACCCCACCACAGCCGCCGAGCCCGCAGCCACCGTCGCCAGAGCCTTCACCACCTAGCCCAGGACTGCCGCTGCAGCCACCCAGCCCACAGCCGTCACAAGCGCTGCCGTCGCCGCCAAGCCCTGCAACCCCACCACAGCCGCCGAGCCCGCAGCCACCGTCGCCAGAGCCTTCACCACCTAGCCCAGGACTGCCGCTGCAGCCACCCAGCCCACAGCCGTCACAAGCGCTGCCGTCGCCGCCAAGCCCTGCAACCCCACCACAGCCGCCGAGCCCGCAGCCACCGTCGCCAGAGCCTTCACCACCTAGCCCAGGACTGCCGCTGCAGCCACCCAGCCCACAGCCGTCACCGCGCTGCCGTCGCCGCCAAGCCCTGCAACCCCACCACAGCCGCCGAGCCCGCAGCCACCGTCGCCAGAGCCTTCACCACCTAGCCCAGGACTGCCGCTGCAGCCACCCAGCCCACAGCCGTCACAAGCGCTGCCGTCGCCGCCAAGCCCTGCAACCCCACCACAGCCGCCGAGCCCGCAGCCACCGTCGCCAGAGCCTTCACCACCTAGCCCAGGACTGCCGCTGCAGCCACCCAGCCCACAGCCAACACCGGCGCTGCCGTCGCCGCCAAGCCCTGCAACCCCACCACAGCCGCCGAGCCCGCAGCCACCGTCGCCAGAGCCTTCACCACCTAGCCCAGGACTGCCGCTGCAGCCACCCAGCCCACAGCCAACACCGGCGCTGCCGTCGCCGCCAAGCCCTGCAACCCCACCACAGCCGCCGAGCCCGCAGCCACCGTCGCCAGAGCCTTCACCACCTAGCCCAGGACTGCCGCTGCAGCCACCCAGCCCACAGCCATCACCGGCGCTGCCGTCGCCGCCAAGCCCTGCAACCCCACCACAGCCGCCGAGCCCGCAGCCACCGTCGCCAGAGCCTTCACCACCTAGCCCAGGACTGCCGCTGCAGCCACCCAGCCCACAGCCGTCACCGGCGCTGCCGTCGCCGCCAAGCCCTGCAACCCCACCACAGCCGCCGAGCCCGCAGCCACCGTCGCCAGAGCCTTCACCACCTAGCCCAGGACTGCCGCTGCAGCCACCCAGCCCACAGCCGTCACCGGCGCTGCCGTCGCCGCCAAGCCCTGCAACCCCACCACAGCCGCCGAGCCCGCAGCCACCGTCGCCAGAGCCTTCACCACCTAGCCCAGGACTGCCGCTGCAGCCACCCAGCGCACAGCCAACACCGGCGCTGCCGTCGCCGCCAAGCCCTGCAACCCCACCACAGCCGCCGAGCCCGCAGCCACCGTCGCCAGAGCCTTCACCACCTAGCCCAGGACTGCCGCTGCAGCCACCCAGCCCACAGCCAACACCGGCGCTGCCGTCGCCGCCAAGCCCTGCAACCCCACCACAGCCGCCGAGCCCGCAGCCACCGTCGCTAGAGCCTTCACCACCTAGCCCAGGACTGCCGCTGCAGCCACCCAGCCCACAGCCGTCACCGGCGCTGCCGTCGCCGCCAAGCCCTGCAACCCCACCACAGCCGCCGAGCCCGCAGCCACCGTCGCCAGAGCCTTCACCACCTAGCCCAGGACTGCCGCTGCAGCCACCCAGCCCACAGCCAACACCGTCGCTGCCGTCGCCGCCAAGCCCTGCAACCCCACCACAGCCGCCGAGCCCGCAGCCACCGTCGCCAGAGCCTTCACCACCTAGCCCAGGACTGCCGCTGCAGCCACCCAGCCCACAGCCGTCACCGGCGCTGCCGTCGCCGCCAAGCCCTGCAACCCCACCACAGCCGCCGAGCCCGCAGCCACCGTCGCCAGCGCCTTCACCACCTAGCCCAGGACTGCCGCTGCAGCCACCCAGCCCACAGCCATCACCGTCGCTGCCGTCGCCGCCAAGCCCTGCAACCCCACCACAGCCGCCGAGCCCGCAGCCACCGTCGCCAGAGCCTTCACCACCTAGCCCAGGACTGCCGCTGCAGCCACCCAGCCCACAGCCAACACCGGCGCTTGCCGTCGCCGCCAAGCCCTGCAACCCCACCACAGCCGCCGAGCCCGCAGCCACCGTCGCCAGAGCCTTCACCACCTAGCCCAGGACTGCCGCTGCAGCCACCCAGCCCACAGCCGTCACCGTCGCTGCCGTCGCCGCCAAGCCCTGCAACCCCACCACAGCCGCCGAGCCCGCAGCCACCGTCGCCAGCGCCTTCACCACCTAGCCCAGGACTGCCGCTGCAGCCACCCAGCCCACAGCCAACACCGGCGCTGCCGTCGCCGCCAAGCCCTGCAACCCCACCACAGCCGCCGAGCCCGCAGCCACCGTCGCCAGCGCCTTCACCACCTAGCCCAGGACTGCCGCTGCAGCCACCCAGTCCACAGCCAACACCGGCGTTGCCGTCGCCGCCAAGCCCTGCAACCCCACCACAGCCGCCGAGCCCGCAGCCACCGTCGCCAGAGCCTTCACCACCTAGCCCAGGACTGCCGCTGCAGCCACCCAGCCCACAGCCAACACCGGCGCTGCCGTCGCCGCCAAGCCCTGCAACCCCACCACAGCCGCCGAGCCCGCAGCCACCGTCGCCAGAGCCTTCACCACCTAGCCCAGGACTGCCGCTGCAGCCACCCAGCCCACAGCCGTCACCGTCGCTTGCCGTCGCCGCCAAGCCCTGCAACCCCACCACAGCCGCCGAGCCCGCAGCCACCGTCGCCAGAGCCTTCACCACCTAGCCCAGGACTGCCGCTGCAGCCACCCAGCCCACAGCCAACACCGGCGCTGCCGTCGCCGCCAAGCCCTGCAACCCCACCACAGCCGCCGAGCCCGCAGCCACCGTCGCCAGCGCCTTCACCACCTAGCCCAGGACTGCCGCTGCAGCCACCCAGCCCACAGCCAACACCGGCGCTGCCGTCGCCGCCAAGCCCTGCAACCCCACCACAGCCGCCGAGCCCGCAGCCACCGTCGCCAGAGCCTTCACCACCTAGCCCAGGACTGCCGCTGCAGCCACCCAGCCCACAGCCAACACCGTCGCTGCCGCCGCCGCCAAGCCCTGCAACCCCACCACAGCCGCCGAGCCCGCAGCCACCGTCGCCAGAGCCTTCACCACCTAGCCCAGGACTGCCGCTGCAGCCACCCAGCCCACAGCCGAACACCGTCGCTGCCGCCGCCGCCAAGCCCTGCAACCCCACCACAGCCGCCGAGCCCGCAGCCACCGTCGCCAGAGCCTTCACCACCTAGCCCAGGACTGCCGCTGCAGCCACCCAGCCCACAGCCGTCAACGCCTGCCATCGCCGCCAAGCCCTGCCGCAGCCACCGTCGCCAGAGCCTTCACCACCTAGCCCAGGACTGCCGCTGCAGCCACCCAGCCCACAGCCGTCACCGTCGCTGCCGCCGCCGCCAAGCCCTGCAACCCCACCACAGCCGCCGAGCCCGCAGCCACCGTCGCCAGAGCCTTCACCACCTAGCCCAGGACTGCCGCTGCAGCCACCCAGCCCACAGCCAACACCGTCGGTGCCGTCGCCGCCAAGCCCTGCAACCCCACCACAGCCGCCGAGCCCGCAGCCACCGTCGCCAGAGCCTTCACCACCTAGCCCAGGACAGCCGCTGCAGCCACCCAGCCCACAGCCGTCACCGTCGCTGCCGTCGCCGCCAAGCCCTGCAACCCCACCACAGCCGCCGAGCCCGCAGCCACCGTCGCCAGAGCCTTCACCACCTAGCCCAGGACAGCCGCTGCAGCCACCCAGCCCACAGCCGTCACCGTCGCTGCCGTCGCCGCCAAGCCCTGCAACCCCACCACAGCCGCCGAGCCCGCAGCCACCGTCGCCAGAGCCTTCACCACCTAGCCCAGGACAGCCGCTGCAGCCACCCAGCCCACAGCCAACACCGTCGCTGCCGTCGCCGCCAAGCCCTGCAACCCCACCACAGCCGCCGAGCCCGCAGCCACCGTCGCCAGAGCCTTCACCACCTAGCCCAGGACTGCCGCTGCAGCCACCCAGCCCACAGCCGTCACCGGCGTTGCCGTCGCCGCCAAGCCCTGCAACCCCACCACAGCCGCCGAGCCCGCAGCCACCGTCGCCAGAGCCTTCACCACCTAGCCCAGGACTGCCGCTGCAGCCACCCAGCCCACAGCCGTCACCGTCGCTGCCGTCGCCGCCAAGCCCTGCAACCCCACCACAGCCGCCGAGCCCGCAGCCACCGTCGCCAGAGCCTTCACCACCTAGCCCAGGACTGCCGCTGCAGCCACCCAGCCCACAGCCAACACCGGCGCTGCCGTCGCCGCCAAGCCCTGCAACCCCACCACAGCCGCCGAGCCCGCAGCCACCGTCGCCAGAGCCTTCACCACCTAGCTCAGGACTGCCGCTGCAGCCACCCAGCCCACAGCCGTCACCGTCGCTGCCGTCGCCGCCAAGCCCTGCAACCCCACCACAGCCGCCGAGCCCGCAGCCACCGTCGCCAGAGCCTTCACCACCTAGCCCAGGACTGCCGCTGCAGCCACCCAGACCACAGCCAACACCGGCGCTGCCGCCGCCGCCAAGCCCTGCAACCCCACCACAGCCGCCGAGCCCGCAGCCACCGTCGCCAGAGCCTTCACCACCTAGCCCAGGACTGCCGCTGCAGCCACCCAGCCCACAGCCGTCACCTTCGCTGCCGTCGCCGCCAAGCCCTGCAACCCCACCACAGCCGCCAAGCCCGCAGCCACCGTCGCCAGCGCCTTCACCACCTAGCTCAGGACTGCCGCTGCAGCCACCCAGCCCACAGCCGTCACCGTCGCTGCCGTCGCCGCCAAGCCCTGCAACCCCACCACAGCCGCCGGGCCCGCAGCCACCGTCGCCAGAGCCTTCACCACCTAGCCCAGGACTGCCGCTGCAGCCACCCAGCCCACAGCCGTCACCGGCGCTGCCGTCGCCGCCAAGCCCTGCAACCCCACCACAGCCGCCGAGCCCGCAGCCACCGTCGCCAGAGCCTTCACCACCTAGCCCCGGCTTGCCATTTTACCCACCAAGCCCACAGACGTCACTGTCGCTGCCGTCGCCGCCAAGCCCTGCAACCCCACCACAGCCGCCGAGCCCGCAGCCACCGTCGCCAGCGCCTTCACCACCTAGCCCAGGACTGCCGCTGCAGCCACCCAGCCGACAGCCAACACCGTCGCTGCCGTCGCCGCCAAGCCCTGCAACCTCACCACAGCCGCCGAGCCTGCAGCCACCGTCGCCAGAGCCTTCACCACCTAGCCCAGGACAGCCGCTGCAGCCACCCAGCCCACAGCCATCACCGTCGCCCCCGTCGCCGCCAAGCCCTGCAACCCCACCACAGCCGCCGAGCCCGCAGCCACCGTCGCCAGAGCCTTCACCACCTAGCCCAGGACTGCCGCTGCAGCCACCCAGCCCACAGCCGTCACCGTCGCCGCCGTCGCCGCCAAGCCCTGCAACCCCACCACAGCCGCCGAGCCCGCAGCCACCGTCGCCAGTGCATTCACCACCTAGCCCAGGCCTGCAGCGCAAGCCAATAGGCCCGAAACCTTCCCAATCGGTACCGGGGTCGCCAAGCTCTATACTTCCACAACAGCCGCCGAGCCCGCTTCCACCATCGCCTGAGCCTTCCCTACCTAGCCCTGGCTTGCCATTTTACCCACCTAGCCCACAGACGTCACTGTCGCTGCCGTCGCCGCCAAGCCCTGCAACCCCACCACAGCCGCCGAGCCCGCAGCCACCGTCGCCAGCGCCTTCACCACCTAGCCCAGGACTGCCGCTGCAGCCACCCAGCCGACAGCCAACACCGTCGCTGCCGTCGCCGCCAAGCCCTGCAACCTCACTACAGCCGCCGAGCCTGCAGCCGTTGCCATCTAATTTGTCACCACCCAGCCCAGGCCTCCCGCGCAAGCCGATAGGCCCGAAGCCGTCACAATACGTACCAGAGTATCCTAGCTCTACATACCCACTGCAGCCACCGATCCTCCCTCCTTCCATTCATTTAGCGCCATCGCCACCACCACCGCCGCCGCCTCCACCGCCGCCTCCACCGCCACCTTCACCCCCTCGGCCGCCTCCTTCACCTCCGCCATACCATCCGCCACCATCGCCGGATGCCCCTTTTCCACGTAATCCTGTTCTTCCTGGAAATCCGACCATACCACAGCCACCGCAGGCACTTAAGTCTCCCCCTTCTAGCCCTTTAGCCCCAACGCCAAACAATACCCATCCTGCGCCACGCCCACCACGTCTTCCACCGATATGGCCCCTGAGTCCCTCACCCACGCCTACTCCAAGCCACTCTACAACCAGTCCGCCGCCATCCCCCAAATCACCAAGCAGCCCATCGCTGCCGGCTTCTCCTTCACTCCATCGCAGGCCGCCACAGCCATTCAGATATCCCTCCATCCCGGCTACACCATCACACAGCCCCTCTCCACCCAGCTATCCCCCGCACCCCGCATCCCCCCCTCCTCTCTCCTCTTCCCCACCACCTGTACCGCTACCACAACTTCCACCTTATCCCCCGACTTCCAGCCCGGCACCTGCGCCTCCTCCACATTCCCCTTCGAACCCATCGAACCCCACTCTTCAACCTCTTCCGCCAACACCTGCTATCTACAGCTCGCCCCAATTACCACCAATTAGTCCCCAGCCATCTCAACCATTATCTCCAGGTCACCCACCACCAGCTACACCGCAGCTTCCGAGCCCTGCCGCGCCACCCTCTCCGGTCGCGCAACGTATGCCGGTGTTCCCCTTCTGCTCCTGCGCGTACAATCGCAAGCCCACCGATGTATCACCATACGAGCTCGGGCCCGCAGTGGAAATGCCGGGCAGCTCTGCCGACAACACCACGTACTGCTTCCGAGTCGCCGTGAAGCCGGAGCGGATCCTAAACAAGCTCCGCAGCCGGCCTTGCGGCTCCATGGGCATCCATAAGGCCCAGTTTCTCATCAGTAAGTGGCGTGTGGTGCGTGTGCTGTTAGATACAAACAAGTTTCAAACTTCTCTCCGCATAAGTTCGGGGAGTTGCATAAACCGGGGTGGCGAGTCCCATGGACGGGTAACTGTCATTATTGTGGAGCTGAGCTATAGGATCTTGAAGTCCTCTCCGGCTCGCCTGGGCTCGCCTGGTCTCGGCGCGCCTGGGGACGATGGCCGGGGCGCCCAGACCGCCGAGAGTACACTAGCCGCGGTCATCATCGTGCGGTGCTGCCGCGCGTCCTGTGCTGCCTCGTTCTCGAGCTAAGAATGTTTTGGCATATGCTCATGCGCATACACGCATACACGCACATTCTTTACGGCTGCCTTAATCCAATAGATTGTTTCACCCCGGCCATAAGCCCCTCTGCCCGCGCACGTTCCGCTCTTATAAATCGACTGCTGTCTGAGCTTTGTTGAACCGTCTGTCTCGTTCTGCTCACAATCCGACTGCTGCCCTCTCCTGCCCCCAGATCTGATGTGTGCCACGGAGTACCCGAAGGCCATTCTCCGAGTCACCCTCAACGGCCAGCGCGTGTCGCCCGTTTACACTGTTGAGCTCTACAACCGTGTGCCGTACGGCGTGCTCACGTTCCGAAATCTGGGCTTCAATCTGCCCAAAGTCCAAACGGCTGGTTTCAATCTCTGCATGGTAATGGCCACCTCCAACTCCTGCGGCACGCCTTCGGGCCTGTGTTACGGCAACGGTGGCTGTACATACGGCCTTTTGGACGATGCCCTGGAGTGTTGTCCCGTGAATACGGTTCTCACGCAGCCGCTGATCGTAACGTAGGAGAGAAGGAGAGAAGTAGCTGGTTTATTAGATAGATTGAGAGAGTAGCCAGGTGAAAATGAGCACCAGAGCGGCCGTTTTTAGGCCGAAATTAGGACGTACGTTTTTGTGCGCTTGGTTGTAAGACGGCCCACTGAGAAGGAGTAGTCCGTCTTAGTCTGATGGATCGGCAGCACATGCCAACATTCCGGTAATTCTTTGTTTGAGACGTAAATTCATGTTTTTATGAAGCGGTTATGCCTGGATTAGTAGATAGACAGGATAGGATGGATCCATCAGGAGGCTTCGGCCGGACAAGGGAAGAAGTAGGCATGTGCGTGATGAAGGATATGTGAATTATTTCCAGTTAGCTAGCGGTGCATGCACTGTCGAAGCGCTGCAGCGAGGAGGACTTTGTTAGGACATGGTCGTTTAAGATGTAAGGCGTCGTTGTTAATGCGTGATTGTTATATTGGGCCTAATATAATGGAAGCCCGTGGCAATTGTTTGGGTCCTCTTAGCGGGCGCGAATGGGGAAGAAGTTGTCATCCTTGTGCCGCAGTGTTCGTGGTGTCTGCTGTACGTATTCTAGCCACCCTCCCAATGCGAGCGACAATAATAAAAGTGAGAGGAAGCAAATCTTTCCTTATTAAAATGTTCAAGCGTTGCGCCAACCGATTATCAGCTTGGATCCCGGTGCCAGGACTTGGATTCACGGGATCCTGTCACGATCTTGCAAATTCTGGCCGGGATCCGCCAGCCGGTTCGCCGGCCGGTTCATCCCGGCTTGGTGTAGAGGTTTTTTTTCGTAGTGATGCAGCTGTCATTGTCTAACTTATGATAGATCTAACGCAGGCGCGCGTGGGAAGATACTTGGCGCTCAGTTTGAGCTAATGCCGTGTGTATAGCAAGATTGCGTGTAGTTGCATGTGCCTGTTTGCCGGCCGTGCCTTCCCAAGGCCATGCGAAAGTTTTCTAAGGACACGCGAACGTTCCTCAAGGGCATGCCGCAGGAGCACCGAACTTAACAAGTATCTGAGATTGCATCATCCGCGTTGCCAATATATTGCATGTTGCATGCCATGCATAACAATCATACAATAACATTCATATGTATGTACGTATGTGTAAACTGAGCGTTTCTTATGTCCTTCGCTTTTCATGCCGTATTGTCGTACACTATCGTGCCTTCGTTCGGTTGCATACAGCTCCCTCTTTCCTGCCGTGAGTCCACCGGGAAAGACGCGTTCCCTGCCGACACGAGGACTTGAGAGGGCTGTAGTAATGTTTCGGTCATGTAGCAATATCAAACCCAACGAAAGTGTTATCAGCAGGCACTGAAGCATCAGTCAGCAGTAGCAGCGGAACTCGCAGTAGCGCCAGGGCCAGTACGGAGGATGGCTATTCCAAGACTTGCTCGGGTCCTGGCCTCTGAAGTGCTTGGGTCCTGCTGCAGTTCAGCCTGGTCGATAACCTTCCGATATCATCCTGTATACACGTCAAACCGATTCGACAACGGCGCTAAAAGAGCGAGGGGACAAAATAAACCACTAAGACCGCTAAAACCGCTGAAACTACTGAAACCACTCGAAGCGTAGACGTCGCTTAAGATCTTCAAGTAGACGTCCATTAGAAGCGGTGAAGATAACTGATGTGGCCAGCGAGCCTTTTGACCTCCGTCAAGGGATAAAACACGGGATGCTCCCTGAGCAGGTGGGCAGGGCAGCTGGGATACTTAGGTGGGTTGGTTGGGTAGGATGGGTTCGAATGGATGCCGGTAAGCCGGATGCTTGTGTGCCGTGCACATAAACCCGAGGCCTGAGGCCCATTCAGCGCCCGAGGCCTGAGTTCAAGGCCATTCAGCGCGGGCTAGTGTGAGTTGAGGCCCATGCATCCGACAATCCTGTTGGATGGCTTTGCATCTGCTGGAACATATTTCATTCACACACAGGATGGCTTGAGTTCAAAAACCCAGTAGTTACTAGGAGGAGGTGTGACCCGGGCCAGGCAGGCGGGCAGATAGCAGGGAGGGCTCCACCTTCCTGGCACTTACACCATCACCACGGTAGCGTACCTTAGTCCCGGGAGCGTTTAGTCCCCATATCTATAGTCCAGGAACTGGCAGGTGTTATGTTGGCAGCCAACTTTAATCCACATGCCAAACAATCCACATGCATTGCCAAACTCTGGTAATAAACTCAGAAGCCTTCATTATTCCATGGAACAACACTCATAGCGGAAGTAGGCTTATAGTGAGTAGTGCAGTACAGCAACCGGCTTCTGTACCGATACATCAAGTTGAATGCGGTCATGGTTTGTAAAATTCTTATTAGCAACTCTGCAGTTCAAGCCTGCCGGTGTTGCGCTTCGTCGGGCAGCATGATTACACACCCGGCTCCTCGTAAGAAATCGCAGTTCAAGGCTAGAGGAGCCCCCGCTCGTCCCCACATCGCACACCCAGCTCCTACATCACAATCGCCCTCCATCATACACGCACAATGCACGGTACACTACCACCTCTGAAATGCCCCAGAGGGGTTCCCTTGAGGCTCGCCACCTTCACCTCTCCACCTCCTTAGCAGGACCTGCATGGCTACACCTCTCGTCCTCTGCATACACGGCCTTAACCCCTCTCTTCACCCGCCCATCCCAATGGCCCTCTCCTCTCCCCTCCCCGCTCCCCCCTTGTCCTTCAATCCGAATGGATAATGTCTTAACTCGCGTATCAATCAATGTTCCCAGCTCCCGTTCCTCTAAGAATCTCTCAGTACCGCTCAGCATCTGGAAGCTGGCTGCATGAATGCCACGAGCCCCAGGAAGGAACGCACCAACACAACGTGCCAATACAATGTCCGAGCACACGGTGTGAATCTCTCTCTTGGAAAGTGCCGAGCATGTTTGCCCGATCATTGGCCGTTATGGGAGTCCCAACAACTCGCGCCCGGGACTTCGCTGCGGAGGCCGTCAGCAGTCACGGCAATCCAGGCAAGTGAGAAAACACAGCGGTCAGGTATGTACTGTACGGCAGCCACGTACGTCAGGGGACAGGCGGTTAGCCAGCCCGCCAGGCAGGCCGTTGCTCTTAAGCCGTTGCTCTGTTAAACCGTTGCTCTTGCGACAGGCAGGGGGGGTGCTTGTCCGCCACAAGCACCTTTCCATCGTACAGGACCCACCCTCTTACCCTTCCTCCCTCTCTCACCTCCCTCCTTCCCTTCTTCCCTCTCTCACCTCCCTCCTTCCCTTCCTCCCTCTCTCACCTCCCTCCTCCCTCTCCCATTCTCCTCCTCCCTGCGCAAGGTGCTGAACCCGCAATCCATCAAACTTACGCCGCAATTCTTTTTCCAAAAGCGCTACCGCCGCCACTCGCAATCTAATGACGGTGTTGCTGCCTCCGCTGTTGCCGAGCTGCTAAGCCCCCGCCCCACGATATGTCCCCAAAACTTCCCCATCTCCATTTCCCCCTCACCACCAACTCCACACCGACACCCCACCGCCACACGTAAGGCCCCAAAAGGAAATTGACTCGACGAGCGAGTGATACCCCCTTCCACTGCCCCTCTTCCTCTTCCTCCTCCTCCTCCCTCTACCACTACTACTACTACTAGTAGTACTACTGCTGTTGCTGCTACTGCATGTGCTGCTACCACCACTACCACCATTGATTCCTTATTGGGGGGTTGAAATGGTGAAGTACTCGAAACGGAGGTCGGTAGCCAACCCCCATTCGGGAAACCAGCCGAAGGGCCCAACACCCGCTCCCTCTACCCCATCATACCCTTCCCCAACCCCCGTTACTGCTACTGCTACTGCTACTGCCGCCCTTAACGCTTCTGCTGACGTGACCCCCGGGTCGGATGCCACTGCTAACGGCCCTACTGCTGCCTCCACTGCATCTGTCGTTGTTGTTGCTGCCCCCGCTGCAATTGCTCCATTTCGCGGGTTGGCCAACCGCAGTCGCGGTCGCGGCCGGGGCTGCAGGCTGGCAGGCCGCGTGGAGACGGATCCCCCACTGACCCATGGGACGGTCCCGGGTCTCGGGCCCGCTGTGGTCGTCCCTGTTCCTGGCACCGCGTCTCCTTCCTTTAGCGTCACCACTGTAGCCGTTACGGTCAGGAGGCTGTTGCTGCTAAATGACTGGTTGCCACCAATGATGTCACTACCGCTGCTGGTAATGCTACTGATGATGATACTGCTACTACTAGACGTGCACTGGCATGCGGCCTGGGAAGAACAGTAGCCGTGGGAGGATACTTCGCTGCAATCAGTACCATCATCGCCGCTTCCGCCGAGCTGCTGCTGCTGCTGCTGCTGCTGCTGCTGCTGCTGATGATGATGATGATGCCTGCCATAACAGTGACTCCCATCATAATTGTCGTTGAGGTCGTCATTGTCGTTGTTGTGTACGGCACCCAGCGCCAGGCTGACGAAACAGACGGCGGCAGTCAAACCCGGAACGGCACGTGACATGTCGGCAGCATCCAACCATAACCCGAAAGGACGGCGCAGTACGGCGGGAAACGTGTCACAACGTGGTGTAGTCGGCACCAACGGATGCGCCCAACGTGGCCAGGAACGGAAGGCTGGTCAATTCCGCTTCCGTACACGCTCAAAGCGGTGGGAATGTTGGGGTCCAATCAGTTAGCGTAGCGCAACCCAACACACACAACACACACACACACACAATTCCAGGGTTGCAGGGAGCCTTGGGAATCTCTTGCGTCCTAATACTGTTTTGTTATTAAAAGAAATAATAAAAGCAGTAGGTAACTATGGCGAAATGAAATCTGTTCGACCTGAAAGTTGGATTTGTAACATCTGTTACGTTACATTCCTACAGGTGATTTGAAAACATTGGGCTTGATTCGCGGCTTCCGCAGCGACGGTTAACAGCCAAATCCATGACCACCGAGCCTTCGCGGGTCAACAGTCGTATGAAACCCGCCCACTACCACCCACGGCGCTAAGGGCGATAGTAGTACGGCCGCGGGGCCGGGAATGGATGTGGGGTTAGCTCTGGCCAGTGCATCTGCCACACTGAACAGCGACAACGGTCAGGCCAACGGTCATAACCGTATCGCCAACGGTAATACGGTAGTCATTCGGCCTTCAGGCTTTCTAGGCGCCACGTGGGCGCCAGGTCCAGCCGTTGTCCAACCACAATTGCAGCCGCAACTTCAACCACCCCCAACCGCCGCACAACTGACAACGGGTGTATCATCGACATTGGCACTGACTGGGCCGGGCGGTTGCAGTAGACGGGTTGTCGCCGAAATGGCGCACAGCACTGAAGCTAGCGGAGGCGGTAGCCACAGCAGCGGCGGCGGCGGAGGCTGACGTCACGGCGACAGCAGGTACGGCAGGTACGGCGGAAAGGACGTGGGTGGGGCAGGAGCACCGGCAACACATCCGGCAACGATTCTGTTCACTTGGCTCAGCTCAAGCAGAACAACTACAGCTACGAGAAGTAGTAGCGCGAACAATGGACGTTACTTGGAAAGACGCGGCAGCAGCAGCACTAGCAGTAGCAGTGGCAGTAGCACAACCACCGCTGCAGCGGCCGCGCCGGTGCCTGTGGCAGTTACATTGGAGGCGTCTATGGCAGTAGCAACGCCACACAAAGCCATGGCAATAGCAGGTGTTGATGTTACGTTTGGTATTGTCGAGTGTCGCCGGTAGCCGCTTCCATCTTAAGGCGGAAACAGAAACGATCCACGCCGTTCGTTGGTTTCTGTTTGTGGTGGTTGCCAGTTGTTGATGTATAGTAGTCGAGGTGGGGCCGGGTGGACCGCGCAACCACTCAACCCCCCTGTGTGCACGGCTATCTACCCACCTTCGGCTGTAGACCCTGGGGGCAGTAGTGCCATCAGCCTCAGTCGCCGCGGCCGCTGCTGCAGCGGCGGCGGACTCCCTGAGATCGGTACGGCACTGATCGCCGACGCTGCCCCCACACTCGTCACCGACACACCGGCGAGCCCTAGCCCCTCGCCCTCCTCCTTCTCCTCTTTCCCTTCCTCCTCCTCCCAGCCCGCCATGCACAATGAGAACTCCTCTCCGAGACCGCAGCCCGCCAGCAGCAGCAGCGCCGAAACCAAACTCGCTTCCTGCAGCGAAACTGCCGCATCCATTGCCGCATCCGTCGGCATTGTCGTACTGACCCCCGTCCGTCCCGTCACCGCCTCTGCTGCAGGTACCACGGCACCGTCAGGCAGTGTTCTGAACACCGCCGCCGCCGCCGCCTGATGTGATGCAGCCGCCGCCACTGCTGCCGCCCCCGCCGCGCCTCCCCTGCCTCAGCCGCTGCAATGATGGTATCGGCGGAAGCAGCCGCCGCAGCTGCAGCGGCGGCGCATTGTCGTACGATAACCACAGCACGACAAGCTAGTTCATAGGTATGGAGGCCGCCAGCGGCGCGGCTCGCCTCGTCGTACACCTGTGCACAGCATTACAGAAGGTACGCCGTACGTATGTACACGTGGCCAAGCTATCCGTGATGCTGTGCTGTAATCCGCATCACGGTTTTGGACGCACTCTTGAGGAAGAGCTGCCGTACACTGTGCGAAACCCCTCTCACCTGCCGCGTCGCCAGCAGCGCCCGGGTGATCAGCTGTTCGGCCTGTTCCGCCTCTACCCGTCGGGGAAGTACGGCAGCTATCGAAGATAGCCTCGAGAGCTCCGAAACCCCTGTCGCTCCCGCAGCTGCGTGTGCCGCTCCTAGCCTCGCTGCGCGTGATGCCATCAGCGGCCCAGACGGCAAATGTGGCGGCATCGCCACATCCATGGAAACCCGCTTCCCTACTGCCAATCCATCTCCTGCTGCTGACGCTTCGGATCTTTCTGGCGCTGATGCTAATGCTTCCCATGCAGCTGGCTCTTCTGATGCGGACTCGGCACTGGCTTGATCCCGATGACCACCACCCGACCTGTCCATCAACGGTGATGCCAACGGTACTCCAGCGATTGGCGGTTGCAAAGCCGCCAGGAGGCAGTTTGAACAGCGGTTGGCGGTCGGTGCACAGGCATGCGGGTTGTGGCTGTGACGGCGCTGGAAGCAGCTACGGTGGCGGAGGCACCATCGCCGTCATGGCGGCAAGTGATGAGCAGCTCGTCCGACGCTGCCGCCATCACCGCCCGGATGAGCCGCCGTCTACCCTGTGCACGACATCGTACGGCACGGTACGGCATCGTACCGTAATTGGAATCACGTGGAACTAAAAAATGATATGCTGCTGGAGGCTTGGGCAAACAACTCCCAGCCCTCCCTAGGCTCGCTTCGCTGAAAAAGCTGACATGGAGGATCCTTCAACCACCGATACGACACATCAAATTTTCGAGAGCCCCTGGATATTCATCCACCCATAACTCCATCCACCCTCTCCAACCAATGCTCCCCCGAGGTCCAAGTCCCGACCACAACAACACGCCGACGTGCCCGACTATCGCCGTACATCCCCTTCGTCGTACATCCCCTTAATCCTGTTCGGATAATGTTCGTCACGAGGTGAGGGCTTCCTTCCGCCACTAGCCTTCCTGTGCGGTTCACGCACCTCGGGGCGATGAAATAGCTGCGCCGCCGCCGCAGCAGCAGCAGCACCGCGGCAACCGAGATGATGGTCCAGCTCATCTGGTGTACGGATCGTCGAAACGCCTTTAACGCCGCCGCCGCCGTCAGCTTCAGTGTTGCTACTCCTTACGCACCTTCTGCTGCCACGACTGATGCCGCTACTGCTGTTATTACTACTGTTGTTTATGCTTCGGCTACTGCCAGTGTTTTCTTGGCCAGTACGCATTTTGGAGCAGGCTGACGGCCAGCTTTGACCAGTCGTGAAACGGAAGGCTGTGGCTAAGCGTTCTTGCGGAGAGGGATTTTGCGGCTGTTGTTGCTGTTGAAGAGGGGCGGTCAGTTTACTGGCAAGGTTGGTCAGCGCGTGAAGCGTCGTTTGTAAGCTGCGGAGTGAGGTGTCAATCCTGGCAAATCGGGCATCCAGCTGCTGCGGCCTTTGCTGTTGCTGCTGTAAGTGGTGCTGCGCTTGCAGGTGCATGGCGCGGATGGATCCTTGTGGCTGCGGTTGCGCCTTCGGTTGCGTCTGTGGCTGGGCTTCGATGTCCATCCCTGTCCCCGCCCCTGGGCTCCCCCTGCACAGTCTTGCCTCCAGCTCATTTTGCAAGGCGTGCAGGTGGGCAAGGTCGGCCTCAAGCCCGATGGCGGTAGTTGTGAGGGCGATGCGGACATTGTTGAGCCCTGTTGAAATGCCGCAGTGTCGAGCCGCGTGTGGTGCAGGGAATGGTGATTCCGGTTACGCAACTGGAAAAGAGCAGAGGCATCGTGCTTGCTATTACACACGCGTAATTGAATGTCGCTAAAAGCGCATAGCAACCGCGTACCGCGAGAGCCATCCGCAACAGCGTTGGCCGCCTTTAGCGGCAATTGCCGTTGGGACCGAAACTTTGTTAAAAGTGGAAATGGAAGCCATAGTCCAGCTGGCTGCTGAAGCGACATAGAGACACCATTCCTGCATCCTAGGTGGGGTGGGTAACATTCTGGAACAACCCGCGAGGCGCGGTTATCGAGTAACGGCTTTTGCATGACCGGAGCTACGAAGGGAAGTTCGTTTCTTAGCCACCACTCTTTCATTGATGACTGATGATTTAAGATTTGATTGGCATAAAGATTGGGCTGGCCTGGAATAATTTGATTGGCATAAAGTTTGGGCTGACCTGGAATGCAAAACCTCCGACCATAATCAATTGCTATTAATCCACAACAATAAGCGGCGCTGTGCGTTGTAAACTGTTCCAAGCACTTGCATCTGCTTTGCATACCGTGTAGCATACACCTATATCCCTTGCACTTCCGTTGCCTGGTAACTGTATTAAACCCATAACTCCATAAACCCCTTTCGAGGTATAAGTAAAATTGGACACATGGACCTGGTGGAGCTTGAGATGGGAAGACAATTGGTGCAGCGGACACTCCCGGGCGTGGTCAACGATTACCGGCTAAAAACGGACAGTAACTGCTATCAAGGTCCTCGCCATAGTTGTTACTACAACGCCATGCCTGCCTAGTTTTCTAGTCTGCTGGAGCTTTCGCACGTTTTGAGCAACTGCTGGCCGAGATGTCTTGGCAAAAATGTGTCTGGAACCCGTCAGGCTAGAAGCCCTTCCGAATCTGACCTAAAAGCCGACCATAAATGGCCGACCGTAAATGGCCGACCGCAAATGGCCATAAAGCTATGTAACTTCCTCGCACCCGCGGCTGTGGCCTCAGAAACAAGGTCTGTAAGCTTCGGCCTGTGACGCAAACTTATCAACATGCTCCACTGTCCATATGACCCGTGCCTTCACACTCGCGATGTTTGTACCTGCGGGCTCAGTTGCATTCCTGCCTGATCTACAAGGTGTCCGGGCCGATGACTACTCCTGATCCCCACACCATTTGGCCCATGCCATCGTGGGGTGGGGACTGCTTAATTGGGCTAAGACAGCACATAGTTGGAGATACCGCCACCTTGAGACCAGCTCCCAGCCATATCCACTCCGACCCAGCCTAAATCCCTCTAAATCCACCGGCCACACACCACACCAATGCTTAGACGTGATGTTTCAAAAGTTGCATAATAATGGAGCCAGGCAAAGGTGTGAGTTGTGTGACGCGGCCCCGGACCGTGCATCACCCCCTGCCTCCTGTCTCCAATGGGGCCCTTTCTAGATGCACACCTGCAGCCCATTGGCTTGCTTGGTGCACTTGTGTCCAGTGAAAGGTAAGGCGCGCCTGGGTGACATCTACCTACCTACGCAGCCTGGCCGGGTAGGGGCTGGATAGGGGCCTCGCCATTGCCGGCTGCCACATCGCAGGACAGCAGGGCAGCGGTCGCCCCGCATGCTCTGATGATGCGGTTCAGGTCATCGCTACCAGCCACTACATGCTTGGTCGATTAGGTTTCACCCCGCGGGGACGCAACCAAAATGCCTGCAGGGGTTTCAAGGAGTTTCAACCAGTGTAGCTGCAGTTGATGTGGCTGTTGCAGCTCAAACCCACCTTGCCTGCCTGCCAACTCGCGAGATATCTGTGAATAACGCCCTGAAGCTGCACATAGTCTGGGTAACCCCTGACGATTGCCATCTGAAACCACGTGCTGGTTGGCGCTTGATGGAGAGCGGGCTCCGTCAGGGTCAGGGATCCCTTCCCTGGGATCCCAGCTCCAGTGGTCGCAACCAAATGAACACTGCGCATTGGACGCGGTGTGAGAGGATTTTTCTCTCGCTCCCAGGACCGTCGTACCTTTCGCGGGTCAGTTTAGATCTTAAATTTGCATTTTAAAAAGGTTATATTAACTACGCAACTTTATGAGTGCCGATACATTTCAGCCAATGCCGGACAATACTGTGAATGTGGGGAATGGGTGATAGCTTGCAGTTTGCTGGCGGGGACTGGTGACAGCTGAGCCGTGCCCCCACTTTGCGAATCGGTTGATCTTCAATCACGGTGCCGTAGCATTTGGCTTTAGCACAATTGCTAAATGAAACAACAGGGAGGCGGACGGAGGGGCTCCGGAAGAAAGCCAGGCATCCCGGTAGCATAGGAAAAACTGAAGAGATGACATGCCAAGGCAGGTCAGAATTCCAAGCCCAAAACATGTGTTACGTGTATGGGAGACCACGACTTTGTAAAGCTCAAGCCTGGAGCAGGATCATCAGCCAGGAAACGCAGCTGCCGCATACAGAGTAGTTGCGGGTCTGCTGAGGAAGCCTGATTGCTTGGTAGCGAGCAGTAGAAGATACGAGGAACTTAAGCCGCCACATGCTTTAGCTTTCAAGCTTTGTCCATGTGGACAAAGATGTCCCAAGAAAGCAACCTGCCATGGTATTGAATGTCAACGGACCTTATATATTAGAGTTGCAAGAAATAAGCACGATTCAGCTAGGTCTGGTTTGCAACTTTGCTAGTGCGCGTCTTCTGCGCTTCTTCCCGCGGTGCGCATAATGAGCTCGAACAACGACGCACTATGCTAAAGGTGCAGACTAAGGTGTTTGCACAGAGTCTTCAACTATGCTCTCTTGGCTTACCTCCTTTTGACCTGCAGACGTAGTACAAACATGAAAATTCAAGGCGAGACGGTGCAGCTGCTCCATCAGGCTCGTCCGTTGCCCACTTATTCAGTGATTCGAGTTAAATCATCGTAAGGATCAGATTTCGCTAATATCTTAAGGGCTGTTGTTCAAGCTGTTGGTTCTCACAGCAGCCGCTGCCGCTTTCGCCTCTCCGGTCTTGCAATCAGCTTGTATGGCACGTACTTCTATTCTTGATTAGAACGCTATCCTGCTCAAAGCTATAGGCATGAACGGACGGGGCCTCAGTTCACGAAGATGCCTACATCACAGCCTGGAACTACGATGTGACCCAGCCCTTGCAAAATCTGCTTAGCATCAAGCGTGTCCATAAGTCAACACCCTGTGGGCGCACAGGGCGAGCAGGGCAATCCCCAAGTGGCGCGACAGAATGGACGCCAGTAACGGACCGCCTGTTGACAGCAGATTAATTGCCGCACCGTAAGTTCTCTTAAGCATTTATCATGGTCCAGGTTGGGAAGGTTACTTTGTGCGCTATCTGCTTGTCCTACGGTGGTCACCACCACGCCAGCCATGAGCCCACGGCTTGGACCTGTCGCCCCAGTAACAACATCATTTGCGCTGCAGGACCGTCGCTCCTCCGCTGGGTGTTCGTCCCATGGCTCAGTCCATGCTATCTCAGTCGTTGGCTCCCCAACTCGGTTTGCAAGGGCTGGCGGCAAGCTTCAGGCCGGGCCAGTTTCCCCCGGCCGCGGCGAGCGGCCTCCCACTGTTTCAAGCGCAAGCGGGCAATATGACAGCTCAAAGGTGCGCCCTCCTGCTCAATAAGGATCCCACATGGGCGAAATGCCGGACAGTGGTGCACTCTCCCTGGAAACGGTGAAGCCAGAGCGGAAAACCTAGTGTTTCTCGTTTTTTGTGCACATGCGTTTCCCTCATCGGGACGTCCTCGTCATATTCCCTACTCACAGCGCAGCGCTTTGGTCTATATCCAAACCATACAAAGACCTGCCGCCTACGCGGCCCATGCACTACCACGCGTGTTTCAACGCTACGGTGAAACACCACCACTGCGTCCCTTCAGTTCACGAAGGCTATATTCCTTTCGCACAGCTAGATGCGCGTACGCGGGTGTGCAGGCACGTTGAAGGAGCAACGATACTCATCCATTCTATTTTCCTACGCCAATCATGTCCAACCTTCTTCATCACCCCGACCTTGGTTCCCCGCGCATCCTCTGGCTTGCCTCTCCTCATTCGCAACGTTCGCCATGCATCTCTCACTTTACGTAGCCTTACCATGGACACGGCCTCTCCTTTCCCCTTTCTCCTTGCATCCGCTGGCTGACCTCACGCCACCAGCCCTCACCTTTCCTCTTCAATCGCAGCTTGGGAGCTCGGAAGACATCTATGGAACGTAGCAAGGGTTCTGGCGGGGCCGGGGCCGGACGAAAACAGTGTAACTGCAAGAATTCGAGGTGTCTAAAACTGTGAGTCCAACGTAGTTAAAGACTTTTTGGGGTCTGGGGAGGCGCAGGGTGCCTTGCGCGCCTGTGTGAGTGCAAGTTCGGAACTGGGGAACCTGAACGGCTCCATCTCAGGTGTAGGTTAGTCCCCGAGATAATGACTCAAGTCGGGCGGCTTAGAGCAGGTACTCGGGCAGTGCATGAGGTAATCTTGAGGAGAGGGGCGTTGTGTGTTGGGGAGGGTGTCTGCACGGGCTTTTTGCACAAGCTGCACATCGGCGTGCTGTGCTCGGCACAGAAGGGGTGCGCTAGCACTGATAATGTCGATAGCTTGGAGATCCTGCCAACTGTAGCTACTGTGGCATTGTTAGTGTTTTCCTAGCTGTCCTTGCGGACGGTACATGCTCTGTGCCGCCGTGCCTGTGCCGGCTGCGGGTATGCCACCCGCTGTGCGTATTTTCCTCTTACGCTCTCTTCTGGTGCCACGACTGTGGCCGGCGCGTGGGAACTGCAGCTACTGCGAGTGCTTTGCTTCGGGCCGGTACTGCGAGAATTGCAACTGTGTCCAGTGCTTCAATAATCGGGAACACGAAGCGACACGGCAGAGTGCGGTGGAGGCCATTTTGGAACGGAACCCAAACGCGTTTCGGCCCAAAATTCAGGTGAGCGGTCAAAATTTAGTTTCCGGTATTGGATGGCTGGCAGCACAAGGGCTGGCTGACAGGTGTCAGCTCTCGCGGCCATGGGCATAAGCAGTAAGGTCGCGCTTGAACGAGGCTCTTAATTCCAAGGGTTCCAAGGCCAAACCTGTTTAGAGGTCATGAGCCCCGATAGCGCTGGACGTTGCGCCTAAAGGTCGCCGCTGCGATTCCCACTGGCTGTTGTCCAGAGTTTGGGAAGCTGGGAAGGGGCATTAGGGGATGCCCTGAGCGAGAGAGTGTCACTCACGGGGGTGTTGGAAAGTGACCGACGCTCATATACCAGTGAATGGTGACATCAGCAATAGAACCCCAGGTGTTCCGCCGCTTTGCTCATTCTATGGAAAACTCTGAAGCAGTCAGCCTAGCGCGCAGGCGGATGTGGAGGCGAATCAGGGGCCACAGAAACACTGCACACGGCGTATGCTAGGCCAGTCAGTCACCTACCCGGACGCCGCTCTGCCGCCACCACCACCATCACCATCACCACCATGACGTTCTGTGCGACGTTGCTCACCGCGCCCTCCCTCGCCTGTCCCGCCATCCGGCTCCCAGTCCAATGAGCAGGCCCCCGCCGCAGCGGCGGCAGTGGTGAACAATGCGGCTGCACCGGGGCGTCACCTCAAGGGCTGCAATTGCAAGAAGTCGTCATGCTTGAAAAAGTATTGCGAGTGCTTCCAGGTGGGCAGGAGAGCGGGGCCTGCCTGTCCGCGGCGGCAAGGATTGTCTGGGGTTGATGAAGTGACAGGGCTGTGGTGGATTGCCTGTGCCCTGTGGGTAGGCGGCAGCGTCTGTCAGGGTCGAATCGAGGTCGAATCGGCGCTTAGGGTGGCTTGTGAGAACTGTCTGTCTACCAGCCCGGTA